CTTCCTTCCTCCCTCCCTCCCTCCTCTCCCTCTCTCCTCTCTTTCCCCCCTCTCCCTCCCTCAACCCCTCCCCCTTCTTCCTTGATTCCTCTTTTTCCTTTTTGCCTATTGGCCTGCCTACTCAGGCCTGGCTCAGAGCCCACCATCTCCAGACACACCTGTGCCTGCCCCTTGCCCTTCCCTCCTGGCCCCAGGCGACAACCACCATTCCTGCTGTTTTTAGTTGTGTTTTTCTGTCATAAGAGCAATACACGTTCATTACAGAAAAATCACAGGCTACAGATAAGCAATAAGAAGAAAGCAAGAAAACAGTCAGAATCCCGCCCACACAGAGCGGAGTACTGTGCCTACCTCGGGTAGATTTTTCTAGAGCTATGTGTGTGCACTCATCTTTGCAGATATTTAAAAAAGAACATTAAACTCAGCATCCCAACCCAGACTCATTGTGCTGGGGGTCTGCTGAGGGACGAGCAGATCCTCAACCCCTCCCAGGCCTCAGCAGCCCCTGGGGAGGAGCCGGGAGTTAAACCCTAGGAGCTGCAGCAGGGTGGGCGGGGGAGGCCCTGGTCAGAGCCACCTGTAACCCTGGGGCTGCTGTAGCAATGCACCACAGCGCTCATGGAAGTCAAAGAAAATGGTATCAGTCCTTTTCTGTGGCTTCAGCTGCTTAATGGACCCTTCTCACCAGGTCCTTATATGGCCCTTCCCCTGTGTGCCTCTGTATCCTAATCTTAGGAGGACTCTAGTCAGGTTGGATTAGGGCCCACCCTAATGACCTCATTTTAACTTAATCACCCCTTTCTAGGCCTGATCTCCAAATAAGGTCATGTTCTAAGAAGTAGGAGGTGAGGCCTTTAGTATAGGAATGTAGAAGGTAGCAGTTCAGGCCCAAGCGACCTGGCCTGAAGCACTGGGCCTCGCTTTCTTCATCCAGGAAATGGGGCTGTGATGACATTCATCACAGTGACCAATCAGCAGGTTTTCAGAAGTGTTCGCTTTGTGCCCACCCTGAGTAAACACCCTGAGTGTCTCTTGCCTGTAGATGAGGAGAGGGTGCCTGGCCTTTTGGTACCAACCTACTCCTTTACCCACCTACATACTTTGTTTTCTTCTGGCCAACCCTAGGGCAGAGCTGCTGGGTGGAAATGGAGATTTCAGCTGTCTCAGAGCCCAAGAACCATCTGTGGTGGATAGCCATGGCTCACCCCAACTTAAGTTCTCCCTTCTGACAAGTGCCCTTTCCCTATCTGAAGTTCCTATCCCCAAAGACCCCCAAAGACTTGGGTGCAGCCTCAGGGCAGAACTCCTCCTCTGGCTTAGTCCTCTGGCTAGAGCACTCCTTACCCTCTGCTGTGTGGATGGACTTGTATTCTCAAGCTCCTTGGCTGTGCCTTTTCTCCCAAGGATGCCAGTCCACCCCCTCCCCCTTCCACACAGTTTTGGGACGACCCCTCCCCTTATGGGGCAAGAGAGACCCCCTCTCTAACAGCCTTCCTCTTTGTTGGAGGCTGGACTGTACCTTAAGCCTGAGCCCTGCGATTCTGGAGCAGCAAAGATGCTGATGGTTGAAGGCAACAGCCAAACCCCATGCATTACCCCCCACCCCCACCCCAACGCACATGAATTTCAGCATTTCTTGAGGAGAGAGTGGAGTTCTGCCTCCTGGGGGAGGGGCAGCTAGATGCCAGGATGGATCCCGGCAGAGTCTGCAGGCACAGACCTGCTCAGACCAGATGGATTGTCAGTGGAGGGGGCTGCTGGAGGGAAGGGCCTGAGAGAAGCATGTGGGTTGGGTGGGCGGTTATCAAACCCAGTTATGGAAGATGCATCCCTGAGTGGCGTTCACAACAGCCATTATGAGGACCGGGCTCTGCAGGGAGACAGCCCGGCAGGTCACAGGCGCTGTCCGGGACCTCAGGGAAGAAAGGTGAGGTGCAGGTCAGGGCTCCAAAACACTTCCATTTTTGACTTCCCAAGGGTTGACTTGCTTACAGGTCACACCAGGGTCTCTCTCTCTCTCCTTTCCTCCCTCCTTCCCTCCTTCCCTCCTTCTCTCCCTCTTGGCCTTTGCCTCTCCCCTCTCCCTGTGTGCAACTAGAAGTTTCAGGACACTGCACTTCCCTCGTTCCCCGGGAAATACACTGGTATTTTTCTTTTGCTTATTCTATTTCAGTTCTTCACATTGCCTGACTTGAAGGGATCCGTTGATTTCACTGCCTATTGCTGGGTTCTGATGTTCAGTCAGAAAACTGCTCTCAGCCAGGACTGAGCTGCGGCTGAATATTCTGTCTTTAAATTTTAATACGGAGAACAAGACTATGTGCCATCTCTGTGGTTTTTACTTAAAAATAAAGAAGGGGGCACATCAGAAAAACACAAAACAATTCCAATCAGATTCTCTGGAAGGCAGTTTAGCAGCATGCTGCAAAGCACCGCATGTATGTGAAGAAGGTCCCCAGTTCTGAGTTAGCTATTTCACATTCGGACGTGTGCCACGGGGCCAGGGGTGGAGCTCCTGCAGGCTGCTCAGCCAGATTTTGTGCATGTTAAGGATCCATACCTAGCTTTTGCCCCCCCCCCCCCCCCCCCCCCCAGGCTGATGTCCCTGGCTTTTCTTTTGACCACATGCTGTGGCACTGTTCAAATCTCAGTTATTGATACAGAAAGAAGGAGGCATGAGAGACAGGATGGGCAAAAGTTAAAAGCTGAGCTTCAAAGCCAGCATCTGACTTTGCTCTTAGGATCTGGATTTATGAGTGGCGACGGTACACAGGCAGGGAGGTTTCCAGTTGGGTTTCTTTTCTTCAGGCGTTTCTTTGTTTTCTGTAATGAGCACACATTATTTTAACAAGAAAAGGAGCTTTTTTTTTTTTTCTCTCTCTCTCTCTCTTTTCAGGAAAGAAGGGGAAAAAAAGAAGAGTGAAGGAAGGAAGAGTAAAGGGAAGGAAGGAGGAAGGAAGATTGGTGTTGAGACTTCTTGGAGCTGGAGTGGGGGTTGAGGGGAGGGCGGGAGCTTCTGGGACTCCAGGAGCAGAGAGAGCTCTCCCAGCTGTGGCCTGGGCTCCTGGGAAAGCCCTGGGGTGCGGATCTGTGTCCGAGGAGGAGACCGTCGGGCAGGGCGGGGTGGGGGAGGATGAGGACACGCGGGCCAGGGCTCTGCCCGGCAACTGTGTTCTTAGGGCGGGCCCTGCCCAGCTCCAGGCGGCGGCACCGTCGCGTTCTCCGTGTTTATTCTTCCTGAGGTTTCGGGATGAGAAGTGCGCGCGGGGGGTGGGGGGGACGCAGGAGTACCATCTGTGATGAATTTTTTCCTTAAAAGTTATTTTTCAATTGAAGTATTTTCAAAGCAAAAAATAAAATAATACTAAAGAAGTCACCGATGCTGATGCTAGGGGTGTCCGGTCCAGGGGTTTTCAGGGAGGAGCGGCGTGGAAGAGGAGGGGCTGCCCGGGGAATCCTGGGGTGGGGGACAAGCTGGCTGGGCAGGGGCCTGCCTTTCTTCTTGCCGGTCGCATCCCTACTCACACCCACTTGCGCTTTGCACCAAGCACACCCCCTCCGGCTCACACCGTCCGGGGCTCACTGTTCTCTCACCCAGGGCCTCAACTGTGACCCCAGCTCCCCTTTCTCAGTTCATCTAACTTTGTATGCTAAAATGTCACCAGCAGAGCGAGATGCTGGGCGCGCCGATCTCTTGCGTTCTGGGAGCCCCTTTCCGCTCAGGCCGGGAACTGTAAGGGGAAAGACGAAGGGCGAGCCTTGAGCGAGAGCGCCTGGCCACGACCGCACAGGGATGGGTGCCAGCCGCCGCGACCTCCCTCCCCACCCTGCTCCGCCCCCGGTCTTTTCCATCCTCCTCGCCTCCTTCTCTGCCTCCCACCCTCAGGCAGGGTGAGGGGTGGGCGGCAGTGAGGTTTGGCTGCGGCTTGGTAAGAGGGAGGAGGGGCGTTCCGGGCTCGGGCACACCCGTGCCCCCCCCCCCCCCAGCTGTGGGAGCTTTGCCTGAGTGAGGAAGCCACGGTGCCTCCTGCGCCTCTCTGGGGGCTCCTCCCAGCAACCTGAAGGAATGGAGGGAGACGGGCCCGCAGGTGCTGGGCCAGGGGCGCAGTGGCAACCCAGGGGGCGGAAACCTCGCCCTTGGAGGTTCAGAGTCTCTTTGGACCTGCGCAGCACCTGTCTCCTCGAACCATCCAAAGCTGGGAGAAGTTAGACGGGGGCTGTACTTGCCCTACTCTCGCTCGGTCTCCCTCTCTGTCTGTCTGTCTCTCTCGGAGGCAGATGAGGACCACCTTGCTTCAGCAGTCTCCTCATGGGTTTCTGCATCCTGGGTCATCTTGGGGCTCGAGGTTCTCTGCCCAGGTGTGGCAGGTGTACACGTGTCTGCCGTCTCAGGGCAACTAGGCAACTCCCTTCCACCCCATCCTTCTTCTGCTTCCCACTGCAGGACCTGGGCTCTTTCCCGCCCTACTTTCCCCCAGAGCCACTATGGGGGTGCAAGAGAGGAATTTGTGTTTAATTTTTTTTTCTTTTCAGAGACACGAGAAAATAAACAGACCAAAGGCAATCAGAGCAACTCCCTTCACGTCTTTAATATTGAAGCTTAAACGTCTATACACAAGGAATGTTTCCAACACAGAGTCACTGACTTGTCTTCACCCCGCCCCACAACCCGTGCGCTTTCTGCCCGGGACTCCCCAGGCTCTTCCCCATCTCCGTGTCTTTGAACTAATCTCACTTCTCCAAGGAGTCCTAGCCTCCCTCTGGGGCCCTGCTTCTTGGCCCAAGCCAAGTCCTTCGGTCCCCAAACCCAACCCTTACTATGTCCCTCTTCTACCCCGTCTTTGACGGTTCCCCGTGGGACCCAGAGCACTCTCCCCCTCTTACTTCAGGCGCTGTTTCCAGTCCTCCTGCAGTTCAGAGCCGACCCGTGGTCAAGCCCAGTTAGAGACGGCTCGTCATCAGCAGCCAAGCTCCAGCGCTCCCAAAGCTAGAGAGGGAAAGTGCCCTGCCCACCCTGCCCCATCCCGAGCCCCTCCCCCAACCCAGGGATAAGAAATAAACACAAAAGCAGCAGGACTCCTGCGCGCGCGCTCGCGCGACAGGTGGGTGCCAGGCAACTAGCTAGAGCCTGTGGCGCTGCTGGAACCCAGCTGCGCCTAGGGCGCGCGGGCGTGGCCAACAAGTCTGAGCTGTGGGATGCTGGGGACCATCGCGCTTTGCTGAAGGAGCGCTGGGGAGCAGGTGTCAGGAAGTCCAGCAGGGACAAAGCTGCCAGTTCCAGCCACAGTAACGCTCCTGAGAGCAAGCCAGAAAGGTACAAAAGGGAGTCACGAGAGCACAGTCTCCAGGGTGAAAGTCTCTAGGGAGCTGGGCGCCAGACTCAGCCTGAGTTCTGTGGCTGTGCGTGTCTGTGTCACGGGGACCCCAACAACCTTGACTCCTTTGGAGCGCTTGCATATGGGCCTCCCAGGCCCGAAGACCCAGCCCGCCAGGTTCAGCCACGTGTCCCTCGGTTATTTAGAATCGCTGTGGCCCAGGGCCATGCAACTGCTCCTCATAGCGTTCCAACCAAGTGCGCAGCTCGGACACCTGGTACCCGTCGGGGCCGCGGCCTCCCTGGTACATGATGGTGCCGCTCTGGACCACGTAGAGACGCTCAAAATAGGCACCGTAGGCGGAGCTGCTGGAGTTGGCCATCGTGTCCAGGACCAGGGCGCAGCCAGGTGCGCCCTGCTGCAACACTCTCGCTGCGCTCACCCGGTCCTCCAGGCTGCGGTGCTGGGGGATGACGTAGGGGGAATCTGTGGTGACCCAGCCATCGGACGGGTGGGCTTCCTCTATGTAGATGATGAGGAAGTCGACGTCGCGCTGGTACTTGGTGACCAGGCGCTGGAAGGCGCTCATTCGCGCCATGAACGGTGGTCAGGTGCAGCTGCCAAAATTGAGCACGAGCGGGCGACTCCCTTGGGCATAGTCAAGGATGCGCTGGCTCTGGAAGCCGTCAGGACGGACGACCTCCGAGTTGGGCGCTGGGCCACCCTCGTGGGCCTGCTTGAAGAAGTCCAACTTCTGGCCATGCCACACGGCCTTGAGAGAGGCCAGGGTACACAGACGGTTGTCGTCCGATACGCAGATGGGCGGGTCGTCGGGGGGCACCTCCTCGCCTTCGCTGTTGAGCTCTGCCTCGGGCTCCGGGTGCTCGGGTTGTCGACGGCGCAGGAAATGCTTGCGGATGCACAGGAAATCTAAAAGCCAGAGCATGAAGGCCGTGCCCAGGAAGCGCGGGAAGAGCACGAGGCACGAGGCGGTCTGGGCGCAGAGCCTCAGAGAGTGAAGCAGCAGGGAGCGGAGCATGGTGGCCGCGGGCCCCGAGGCCCCTGGGGGCCCTTCACCTCCTCCGACCACCAACCGCGAGGCGGCCTGCCGCGGCATCTGGCCTGCGGTGGCTTAGGGAGCTCAATTTATAGCTAAAGCTTGAATTGGCGGGAGACTCCACCTCCGGCCGGGGCCCGCCCCCTTGCAACTTGAGCCCTGAGGGATCACCCAGAGGCGCGGCCGAGGCCCCAGAAACCCCGGGTCCGGGGCGGGCGCGGGCTGGCCGAGGGTGGAGCGGGGCGTCCCGGGGCTGGCAGGGGCGGGCCCGAGCCCCGCAGCCGGCTCCCAGGGGCGGGGGACCCCAGAGCCGCCGCGGCCGGGGACCGCGCGAGCGGGATCCCGGGCCGGGCAGTGCGCAGCGGCAGCGGGCTAGCCTGCGCGAGCGCCTCGCACCTCCCGGCTCCCCGCGGGCGGCTCCCGGCCCGCGCCCCCCTCGCCGCGCACCTGAGCCGAGTTCCC